CAATATTGGACTCATTTCGAATGTATTAACGAGACGATTATAATGATATAATTTGTTAAAATAAAAATGTATTTTTTAAACATGTTATAATTGATATATAATTATGTGTGTTAATTTGATAAGGGTGTAAAATGAAAATTTTAAAAGAAAATGATATAAAGTAAATTAATTATCTAATTATAGGGGTATGAAATGTAAATTTAAAATTAAAATTTTAAAAAATTCGGTGAATGTGAATGTGAATGTGAGGGTGTGAGTGAGGGAAAGATGTGAGGAGGAGGGGGTGAGAAGTGATTGTAAGGGGGTGGGGATATCAACCCCAATAATAAAAATATTATATGTGGTAATTATATGGCAAGAAAAAATATGATAAGTGAAGTTCTCGAAGGTTACACCACTATGGAATGTGGATGCTCTTATATTAACATATATCCATTTACAAAAAAACAAAACAAAAAGGTAAAAACATTTTAGTATGTTTAGCAGTTTAATAAATCGACAATGAATGATAAACATGTTCAAATACAAGATTAGCTATTTGAACAGGTATTTCACGAAAACAGGGATTGTCATTGAAATCTGATCGTCTGTTCAATTTGCTGGATTTGGTGAGATTTGAAATTGAATTCCATTCCAATCTCACGTTTGGCTTAAAGAAAAATATAAAACCAAAATCAGATAGGAGTGGTTGATAATCCACCAGATTTCATATGATGTATTTCTGATTTTTTTTAAATGTATTAAAAACAGTAATGTTGTAATAATCAATTAATAAAAGTTAAGTAAATCATTTTATAATAATTTATAATTTATTTTCATAATTTATCTATTAGAAACTGAATTCAACTCTATTCCAAATTTTAACAGAAACCAAGTAAGCCAAATATTCAAAATTCTTCCACAAAATCTCGATCCTACGAAAAAACGTCCCATCAAAATCGAACACTCATTACAGTAAAAATCGAACACTTTTGTGGCCATGGAGGTTCAAATACGGTGAATTCGGGTTATTGTAAAAATCGGAACACTTTTACCGTAAAAATCGTGTTTCTTTTACTTTCCCTCTATGCCCTCTATTTTCCCGCGCTTTCTCTCCTTACAAATCCTGCCTCCCTCTCCCTTCTGCCACATCGCAGGGTCTCTCTCTAACCTAATCCTTCTCGTTACCTCCTCTCCGACTGCCATGAACCGCCGTATCAGAAAACATTCTGTTGCCAAGAAGTCTGACAACGGTTACCTCCGCTACCTAAGGCCCGGCGCCCTCGCTCAACTCCGTGACTCTAAAATTAACGCTAGATCTCATCTACGATCATATGGTTCTCAGATCTCTATTCATCGCGCTGTTCCATCCTCACCTACTTCTTCACCTTCACGCTCTCTAAGCGCCTTCAGTGTCATCCAGCAACAGCAACAGGACGTTACTGGCACCTTTACCACCACCGATGGTGAAATACCTTTTATTTTTGCAAGGTTTTACGAGCCTCGTTGTCCTCAGAGGAAGAAGCTAATGGCTGCTAAATCGATGTTTTGTCCAAGCCACAACTCTAACGGTCTGATCTCAGATGGTCCTGAACCGGTAGTTGATGTTTTCAGTAATGATATCCTTGTTGCTCATTAGTGTAAGTAGTAGTTCATATCGATCAATCTGTAAAAAGTCTAAGAGAGAAGAAAAGTTCACTTTCTTAATTCGGAGCACATTTTTCTTCTGTAGCTTAGTTCGCGACGACCATTCGATTGGGGGATTATTATGTCAACTAGGGTTCAGGACAACATAAACAAAGTCATTTATTGTTCAATTGACTTTTCTCTTGTTGCTAGATCGTTTTCATTTCGAGATTGATATGCTATTTATACGTTACTTGTGGTAATCACACTTCAAGATTGATTTGTTAATCACTGAATGTGAATGCGTTGTCATCAAACATTAATGCAATAGTTGGAAATCAGAACCTCTGCCTTCATTGATTATTTAGCGACTTGATTATTCAACTTGAGAGTTTCATATCGTACTCTGTAAGTCTATCTTATACTACTCGAGCATAAACATCCACACTTAATATTGTGCTTATTTCTTAGCTGGTGTTCAGCAATTTTTTTTGTTGTATTATGAACAATGCCCATTGAACTACTATTTTGGGAGGTTGAATTGTTCAAACATCAATTATTATAAAGTCAAAGCAGTTGAAACACATTATGGACAATTGTGGTCCCACTATAATGACTTACATTTTCCTCTAATTTTGTGATCCAAGACAACATTAGAGATTCCTCTTCTTTCGTATCTGTCTTCTCTTGAACTGTTAAATTGCTTGTTTTAGCACCTGCACAATGTCATGACTGGTTTTACCAAATGATACAGAAAATTGTTCCCTTGAAGAAATGTGGTTTATGTGATGTGATCATGTTGTCACTTGGCAACTTCGGTATGGTAAGGTAATGGATGCTGCTAGGATAGTAGGACTTAGTAGTTCCTTATGTGGCTAAGGACCACCTGAAATACGATTGATTCTAAGGAATTTTGGCTATGAGATCCATCTCTCATTAGCACTAGATGGAGATAAGGTTCAGTAGTTGCTTCTGAGTAGTAAAACTGTAGCAGTAGTTTTACCAATGTTTCCAGCTTGTAGTTTGGCTTGTGCTTGCACTCCAAGATCTCTAAGTCCCCCTTGAGTTCGTTAAGGATCACACAATTTGTTTTTCCTTGGGATGCCCTTGTTCTTTTTTCTTATTAACCTGAATATCCTACCCGCTATGTGAGCCGACTAACTCCAGTACGACCACCTGCTTTGCAGATAGCCCGAAGTCACCGCATTTGAACATCCGTGGCCACAAGGGGATGCCCTTGTTCTTTAGGGTTGGTTGACATGGTAATTTAGTAATTCTTGTCATACCTTCTCGATTCTTGTTCCATCTTGTCTCTACTTAACAAACACAGCCTTATGAATTTGTTGTTCCCATGGGTCCTTCAAAAGTATCTCTCTTTTACCTTTAGGTGTTAGCTCCTTTGGGGATTCATATGCCTTTTGGGGTTGGGCTCCATTTGTTTAGCTTTTTCTGGTTGGGTCCTCTAGGCTCAGGGACCCTTTGTGTATATATCATGTCCTAACAAAAGGCGTTTGTTTATGTAACCTTCTGTTATTGATTTTAAAGAAGTTCTATGAGATCAAATTGAGCTATGTTCTAACACATTGTTTACATAACTTGATGTGTAAACTGGTTCACAGAAATCCATGATGATGCACTTCAACAGTACACCTCCAAATGAACAGAACACAGGCTTTCTTCTTACACCATGCCAGAAGCTACAAAACCATACTGTAAGTTTATCCAGATTATCTTTTTGAACTAAATTGCATGCTGTAATTGAATAAAGCAATCCATGGTATGCTCTTTGTACTTTTAGCACTTCCTCCATGAGTTTACATTAAGGTATGTTGCAAGTTATTCATGTTATGTTGTCTAAAAGATACTTTACGGAAACGTTCAAATGAGAATCGTAAATATTTTGAGAACCTTGGAACCAAGTATTTCATGAATTTTTTTATGATGAATAACCCTAAAATATATATGAAATATCATGCATTATCGTTCATTATATCAATCACAATATTATCAAATTTTCATGAAGAGTTGGTTGGTTATGAGATTCTCAAAATATATTTACGGTTCTCATTTGAAGTTGTCCTCATACAATAAATACTTATGTTAGGAGCCGTTTATCAAACGTATATCCGGGTAAGCGCTTACCAAGTCACACTACTTCACCGGATGAATATGGTAAGGACCAAGAATCATACCTGGTAAGAGCGAAACAAGGACCAAAAGTCTTATCCGGTAAGTAAGGGCAACGATTCTTACCACGGTAAGCACTTACCCGGATAAATTATTCCATACGTGTCGTTTTGGTAGACCAAAATCTTATCCGGTAAGTAAATAATAGTGTTAAATTTTACTGGTAAGTACTTACTGGTTAAGTATTTGGTAAATGTCCCCTTACTCTTAATTATCATTGAAAGAAATTGCAAGAATGGTTATTCCGATGTAGTTCATATGAAGTACTTGGGGCAAGTGTGAAGAACAATATCACGCAAGGGACTTCATGTACACGGTAAGGGGATCTTTGGTTCATTGAATTCAAAGAATTTCAAGGAATTGGAATGGTCTCCTTTGTTTGGTTCATATATTGAAAATATAGAAATCTTCTGAATTCCTTAGATTAAAGATTTCATTATTTCATGGAATATCCCAAAGATTTCAATTCCATCCAACCAAACGCATGGTCAAATTTCATTCCAATTTTTTCAAAGTCAAATTCCTTTGATGGATTCCAATCTTTTTGAATTTCATTATGTGAACTAGAGGTGGCCAAAATTCGGTCCCGGGCCGGGCCGGGCCTTAACCGGTCCCTACCGGGCCTAATCG